CAATCTGACAGGGCTGTCATACTTCATGATCCCAATCATAAAGCATCCTGAAAAATCAAACCTATGAAGACAATGAAAAAGATCCATGGTTGTCAGAGGCTGGAAAAGAGGAGGGATGCACAGGTAGAGCACAGATTTTTGGGAGAGTGAAAATTCTCTGACATTATAAGGATGGACATGTGTAATTACGTATTTGTCTAAACCTACAATAAGTACATTAAAAATAAATCCTGGGCTCAGCAAGTAAAGTCATTTGCTATTAATCCTGATGATCTGATCTTCATCTCCTCACAATGGTAGAGGGAGAGAACCAACAAACTCCCACAAGCTGTCCTCTGCCATCTACATGGGATATATGAATTCAAATTTGTTATTTTACCTTCTTGTTGAGTCACTTCCTAAACAATGCACCCCAAACAGACATCACAATCATTTTCTATCCCTTATTCTCCTTTATCTTTGCTACGTTCACCGTGGCTGGCATATTGTCTACTTCATCATGAAATCATTATCAGCCCCTCCTAAAAAAACATAAGCACCAAAAAGGCAGGGTTATCTGTTTATAAACAGTTATATCCCTGGCTTATCAATGTTGAAAAAGTGAGTGGCCTAACAATTGTTCAGTGCTGAAAAACTGGATTTGAAATAAGAGTTGAATTTTTCAATGCTTGCCAATTGAAACAAAGGGTATATTCATTTCAATCAAAACCAATAAAATACTCATTTCACTAGGATTTAAAGAATTCTTTTCCCTATAACTCCAGAAGAGATGGTGCCACGGTTTGTCACCTCCCAAGCTCATGTCAGAGATTAATCTCACACTATATAAACTTAACTAAGATGTTTGAAAGCATTGCTTTTGGGATATGATTAAAATTAGGCAAGGTCATCATGGTGGAGTTCCTACAGCAAGATTCAAGGTTTGAAAAAGAAAGCCAAGAGGATGGACACATGCACACAACCAAAACTATCTCTTGCCATGTGATTATCTGCAATACTTTAGCACGCTGACAGTAAGAAAGTCTCACTGATCTTATAGCAATAGTGTCAGCATACACAAGACCCATGCAAACTCAACCAGACAAAAACCCAGCACAGAACTGTAGAAATGGTCAGCAGGCCTCAATCTTAACTGAAGAACTATTGGCAGACTGCTAGTTGAGGAAGAGCTGATCTTCTTTAAGGGAATGACTCTAGACAAGCTGACTAGATCTCAGTGGATAAACTTGCACTGAGGGACATCAGGGGAAACTAACTTGACTCAGTAGATCTTAACATAAATGACAGAATACATGAAATCCAGTGGTGGGGAGGACCCTACTATGGGACGGTACCAATGGGGAAGGGGGTATAAAGAAGACTAAGAAGTTGTGTATGAAATATACAAAAATTCAATAAAAAATATATTTTAAAACCAGTCAGAGACAGATTACTGATACCCACACCCGTAAACCCAGCATTATGGAGGCTGACACAAGAGGGTGGTAACTTTGAGGACATCCTGGGCTACAACAGCAAGTCTATTTTAAAAAAAAAAGAATTGACCTTGAGCCAACCAAAGAAGCAGCATCTCTAGTATAACATCAACTCTTTAAGAAAAAAGCAATGAAGAAGGGTCAGAGGAAATCTCTGATACATGTTAAACGCTAAAATTTGCTTAGAATCCATCTTTCAAATTGGGTATCTAATTTGTATTCAACTTCTAACCTAAGTTTCTTATCTTTATATTTTCCTCTAAGAAGATTACTAGTTTCATTCTTAAACTATAGAAGTCATTAAAAATAAGATTCTGGGCTGGGCTTAATAGCAAATAGCTCATACTCCCAGCACTTGAGAGGCTGAAGCATAATGGCAGAGAATTCAAGGACAGCCTGACTTACAGCCTAAGAACCTGTTTCAAAAAGCAAACAGCCAGCACGGTGGCACACATCTTTAATCCCAGCAGTCAGGGGGCAGAGACAAGGGGATCTGTCTGAAATCTAGGCTAGCCTGGTCTATACAGGGAGTCCCAAGTCAGTTGGGGCTACAGGGAGACCTTGTCTCAAAAAAAAAAAAAATACAAAACCAAAAGCCACCAAATAAAAAACAAAACACAAATTAAGATTCTGAAACTTGACCCCTCAAGCAATAGTGGAACTCAGGTAAGCATTTTCACCAAGAATTATAGGTAATTCCTCTATAAACTCGGTATCTTAGTCCTCTTTCAAAACTCAGTAACGGCACCTATTCCATGACCCCCAAAGTTAGAAACAATTCATTTGTTCTGTACTCTCTGAGCATACTATGTGTACTTCTCTTATAACATTTACCACATTATTTCTTCCCAGCTCATCCCTCCTTACTAACTCTGATTATGGTAGAGATGGTCAACTTTCCCCTTTCCATAGTTCATAGCAGCAATATAGACTGCTGCACAGATTAAACAAGACATGGGATACCTACAATTCAAAGAGCTAGCTCTAATCTACCTACTCTTCTCCCACAAACCAGCATGAATGAAGGATTTCCATCAAAACAGGAACTACAACAGAATTAGTATTCACGTAGCAAATTTTCCATAGAATATTTTCATGACTTGAAAGCACAATAGCTCAGTATTTTTAGTATTCATCACAAGTATACTGTTATCTGCTCACAATACGAAAACCTTACTAAATATATAGGCAATTATGAAGTTTTGGGTTATATAGGGTATCAGAGAATGAGAGAGCAGAATAAATTTATAATCAACTAAACAAAAATAAAATTAAAATGCCCATCCTGGAGTAGTACTTAAGGCAGTAGTAAAACACCTGGTCAAATATGAAGACAAAGATTCTAATATTACCCATATGATGAATAAAATTATGAAAGGGAATGGTTTTTTGTTTTTTTTTTTAAAGAACTAAAATAAAATGGCAAGGAAATCAGGCCAAATTTTAATCAGACAGGCATAAAGGTCTGAGTAAAGTCACTGAATCATAAATGTAAGAACTAGAAGATGTAATATCCACATTCTACTTCTTTAGTGAGTGAGGAATTTAGAACTCTTCGCAAAGTCAAGTGATCTGACTAATTTCATGGAACTAGTAAAGGGCAAAATCTGGGTCTTCTGAGTTCATGAACAGGTGCTCTTCTCATTATATAGTTTGGCCCAAGAAATTTAAAAGAAACAAAGCTGAATCCTAAATTAGCCATAATCACTTCAGTTAATCCTGAACTTTTTAAAGGATTCCAAGCACTGACTACACTTGCATACACACATCAATTTCATAGCTTTGAAAGAAAAAGTTCAGTCAAGTAACTCAGAAATATGATCAATGTCACATGTCACAGATAACTACCTGGCCCTTGACAATGAGAGAATCACTGTAAGATAGGCCAAAAACATTAACTACCTCTCTGGGGGCTGCCAAAGGGCCTATGGATTGCAGAATATAGGGAAGAAATTCTAACTCAGCTTCTCTGTGACTATAAGGTATTTAAGAACTAAACTCGGTCTTCAACTTTTTAGATCAAGAAGTCAAAACCTGACTTTAAATTAAAGAAACTGAGACCTGAGTTTGAGTCCAGTCTGTTAACTCAGGTGTATCACTGCCTGTTTTTCAACTCCAGATTCTTCCTTCTGAAAAATTTGAAGGGGTGGGAAGTCTGACTAGGTTTTGATTCCATTTCAATGTTCCCTCTCTAATTTCACTAGACAAAAGGAAAACAAAACAGAACTGTCTTAAGGAATACAAATCATATTATTCACTGAAGTTTAAAACATATAAATACATTGAGCAAAGAAACATAGATCATCTGAGTGCACCAGGAACTAGATGATTCTGAAGGTTTTTGTTTTATACTCAGATAAGTTTTTAAGTCCTCAAGTCTGTCATCCAACACAACCGTTGAAACAGGCAGTACTTGAAGCTGAAAAAAACTCATGGCCAACTGAAGCTAAAAGGAAAAGTAGAAGCCACCGTAGATGAGGGTTTGAAATCTTTCATACGGTTAACTGACAGTGTTCAACTTTACAAAAACCCTGTGGTCTTGGAAACAGAAATTTTCATCATTTTATGTTACAGAAAAAATGGCTACTACAATCACCTTTCCCAATACAACTTCGAAAACCTTCCTCCCATTTTCCTACAATAAAGCCAGTTGTAGAACTTCCAAAATTCCTTTACTTGTTTCATAAGTTAATTACTGAACTGCTTGGCCCCACTGATCAATCAGCACCAACTGCTTATTAACTAAATTTGATTAAGATTCTCTTTCTCCAAGTCCCTGAACTTTGTCCCACCTGCAGTCTAAGACAGCGCAGGAACTCGACAGTTCCTCCTCAGGATGGCTGGTCTCAAAGTAAAAAATCCTGTGCCCATCAAGCCCCTTTTCATCCCACTTTCTCTTATCAGATTCTATTTTTACCTACCCCTCTATGAAACCTCTTGCCTAAACTTGAAGACACTTGCAAATATTATGAGTGTCCCTACTGCAACTGCTCCTTCCTCGGTACCTTTATAATTTTCCTTTCGAATGAAATCTGTTCTTACTAAACATGGACTTTAAAAAAACAAAAATTGGCATCATTACGAGTTTTGAAGTGGTTGAGTTTTAAACGTCTTTGTCTTAACTGACTGGCGTTGCCTGTCTCCAAGAAGGGGACACGTAGAGTTCGAAGGGCGTTTGTTTCTAGGTCCCTACATTCCTCGACACAGTCTGGAGGCGGAAAAAGGTGGCAGGGACAAGGTGATGAGCCGGGCAAGGTCAACTGTGAGCCACCTGGCACCAAAGGCCAGAAGCGGCGGATGGGCCACCAGCAGGCAGGCTGCCACCTCCCTCGTCCTCCGCCCGCGGCCCAGTGGGACCTCCTTGGCTCCCTCGTGCAGTCGGAGCAGGTGACGGTGCTGCCCAGCGTTCAACTCAACGCTCCAGCCGAGTCCTTAGAGAGCAGGGGCGTGGAGCGGCTCCCTTCATCTACCGACCTCCCCGCCCTCCCTGACGGCTGTCACTCTGGTCCTCACTCGAGGTCTCACCATGGCGCCAAGAACAGGTCTCCGGGCAGACACTCGAGAGCCGCCAGGGCCAACCCGCTTCTCCTCTCTTGGTTCTGCAAAAGGGCTCTCTGGGAACCGCGAGGGAAATGTTCTTCCGGCTCTGCCGGAAGTTCTGCCCGCGCGGGACAGGAAGTTCCTCCCCCTCCTGGACGCCAGCGTCCCCACGCCACGCAGAGGTGAGGAGACGCAAGACGCCCTCTAAAGTGACTTCTTCGGGTGCTCGGGGAGGGCGGGGCGGTGCTGGCCTTGAGACGCGAGGCGCAGGCGCACACCGGTAGGTGGGCGGGCCGAGGCCGGGTCCGGAGCGGAGGTAGGTAGGATGCTCTCTCTGGAGGCCTCCGGGACTAGCCGTCGGCGGTGGACCTCGTCTCCTGTCGCTTCAGTGAAGATAAAGGCCGTCCTAGGCGGTGCTGGTGTGGGAAACTCAGCGACTCGCAGCCAGCGGCCTTTCTGCCTTTCAGTCTTCCTGACGCAATCGGTTCTTGGAGTCTCGCCCATGTCCCGCTTTGGTTTCTGTGCTTAGTGCATCTTCTCCCCTATTTAGAGGTCAGAGGACTCAGAGCGTCAGAAGCGTGTTCCCTCTGTTCAGACGCCAGCCGAAGCCAGCGGTCATCTAGCAAGAGCAGAGGAACCAGGAAGAAAATTCAGAATGGACGCTTTCCACCTGTTTCATAATTCTAATATGGACCCAAGATATTACCAAATGGAAAGAAGTGAAGTTTTCATATATATCTTAGTTTTGTGACCCCCTTCCCCCAAATCAGTACCAGAGACGCTTTCTGCCTTTTTATTGTAGTGAGACGTAGACCTGGAGGCAGGTTTGAAATAACTACACAGAGCATTTTTAATCCAGTTTATCACACAATTTGGGGAGCCGATCTTAACGTCAGTGAGCTCTTTTTACCATAATGTGGTTTTGTCATGTAGGTGGAATTGGGGAGGTAATTAAGCTTCAGACGTCAAGAAGCTTGAGCAAGCAGGGGAGACTATGAATGTTAAGTTTTACACTCGTGTCAGAGTTCCTGGAAAGGATGATGTCCAGCCTATAAATGGACCAATCAGTTCTGAGCCATCTAAAAGAAGTGTACATGGGGCTATTTGAAAAAGATACAGAACTAGGTTTATGCTTTATTTTGTTTTTTTCAAATTGGGAGGAGGGGAGGTAACTAGGGTGACAGGTGATGCAGAAATCATTAAGTACTGATGGAAGCAGCTGGAAACGGGGTAGGGGCTGAGGAATAATTTGTGAAACATCCTGCTGATGATCAATCCAGAACTTCCCTAAGGGTTCTGCTTCTGCTGCACAGGGACAAGGTTGTAAATAGACAAGCCCCAGGGCAACTGCAGACTGTTAAGTGTGGTAAAGAGGGATTGGAGTTGTCTGCTGGGGTATCTGGGGGAAGCATTTGCTATTTAGGAAGAAAAGGTGGAAAAGGAAAGTGGCTCTCAGCTTGTCAGTGACAACACGTTCTGTGAAGTCTTACTTTTTCATTTCTGACACTGTGGGTCTTCTATCTGTCCTAAACTTGGCAGCCTCATTGAGGTTCACAAAGCATCTCCTTCAGTGTGACAGTAAGATGGGAATTATTAACGGGGTGGAATCCATTCCTGCCAGAGTAAAACCAAGAAAAGAAATCAGTTTTTGCTACCTGCTTATCACTTTTAATAGACCCTGGGATTCTGTATTATTTTGTGCATGGCACATTGATAAATAATCTTTGGTTCATATCCTTGTTATCCTTTTACACAGTTGTCTCTATTACAGCATACAAATCTATTATACAGATAATATTTCAATGATTAGTATGTGTACACTTTTAAATCCAAGACAATATCATCAAGTCTTTTTATGCTGTGATATAGTTCCTATTATTTGTCTTAAAGGAATTTAACACTTTTCATAATAGAAGTCTTTGACAAAGATTCAAATAAAGAGACATGAAAAGGGGCAGGAGGAAAACGCGATAACAAAGATTTAAAAAAAGATATTTTTGGCAGAGGAGTTAGCACCGCCTTTGAAGGAAGTCAGGGTTGCTTACTATTTAGAATTTATGATGACTTAAAATGTCCTGAGTGACAACACAACAAGAACTCATCTCTGAACCAAGAAGAGAGCCGCCATCTCCAGAACCCAACTTCCCTTGCGATCTAATTCTCAGACTTCAGAACTGTGAGAAATACTTGTTGGTTAAATCACCCACTTTATGGTAGTTTTGTTATAACGGTCAAAGCAAAGACTGCTATATTACAAAATATACAAAATTATGCCCTGTATGATGGCTTTGACCTGAAAAAGAGCCCTAAATTCAAAGAGAAAAGGCTATTTAAACTGTATTGATTACCATGGCATTAATGGTCTAAGCTTTTCTATAATAGAGGAATATAAGAAAATTAAGAGGAATAAACCTTTTGTATTTCTCAGGATTTTAAAAACCCACTTATATTGCTCTCATCTTCCTAATTTGGAGAAACCTTTTCAGAAATTAGGCCAGGTATTGTGCCGTATGACTATAATACCAGTACTTGGGAAGCAGAGACCGGAGAATCGGGAATCTTGAATTACATGATACCCTTTCTCAAAAAAAGAGAAAGTAACCAACTGTGACTAGTAATAATCAGATATTTAGAGATTAGAAATGCATGTGCAAACATCCAATGTCAATTGCATTGAAAAAGAATTTTTCTGTATGAAACTGTGTATTTTAATAATGAAATGGAGATCTTTTTTAAAGG